TAAGGGCTAAGCCCTGCCCCTTCCTGTCAGCTGGTTTCACCGGTTGCCCTAGCTACTAGCACCTGTGCTGCCCTGGTGACTGGCGCCTCCCCCTTCTCACCACTAAGGGTCTCTCCTGAGCCGTTTCTGTTTTCAGGCACAGGGCACCTAAATGCTCTGCGACACTGCCAAAGGTTGCTCTCTGTTTTCTCACACTCTCATCTTCATGCTGCAGGTTCTCTGTCTACCAGCTGAATATATACTTTAGCCCAGTTGTCTCCTTACCTGATGGCCCTCCAATTCCTGTAAAAATTTGCTCCCACCTAGTCAGCAATCCCTAGTGATCATTTGTGAGACCTCATGGACAAATCAGTCACTGGCACATAAAGGGGACCATGCTTAGTACAGAGAGAGTTTCCAGCAGTGAAAGATTTCATAGACATGAGGGCTGGAAGGGACCTCATAAGATCATCGGGTCCAGCCCCTGCCCAAGGAGCAGGAAGTCAGCTAAGGTCAAAGGATGCCAGCAAGATAAGTGCCCAAATGTTTCTTATAAGTGCCCAGAGAAGGTGCTTGCACCACCTATGGGGGGAATCTATTCCAGGCCTTGGGGCTCGGACAGTAAAGAAGTTTTTCCTTATGTCCAGCCTAAAACAGTCTTGCAGGAGTTTAGGACCACTGGATTCTGTCATCCCTTGGGGTGCTCTGGTGAACAGGCATTCCCCCAGCTCCTGATGCACACCCCTTATGTACTTATAGCCTGCCAACAAGTCACAAGTCACAAGCCTGCGCTTTTCCAGGATGAAGAGTCCCATGGCTCTCAGCCTGTCTTCATAAGGCCTGTTCTGTTGCCCTCTGGTCATATGCATGGCTCTCCTCTGGACTCTTTCAAGCTTCTCCACATCCTTCCTAAATTGTGGAGCCCAGAATTGGATGCAGTACTCCAGCTGCAGCCTCACCAAGGCTGAGTACAGCAAGAGGATAACGTCCTGGGTCTTGCTTGAGATGCATCGGTAGATGCAAGCTAGAGTTTTGTTTGCTTTGCCAGCTGTGGTATCGCATTGGTAAGGGAGGAAGTGACTGAAGCTTGATTAAAAAAAACAGCACCTCAAAACAGCCAAAAGCTGACCAGGAGTGCAAGGGTTAAAGACTTTCCAAAATATTTGGGGGATATCTGGCCCCATCCTGATTTTTTCATACTTACTTTAGTTCCTGCCATTGTGACTTTTTTTAGACCATGCAGACTAAGATTGTTTTAGCCTTTCCAGCTGTTCCTGTTGTTGGTGCCTGGAGGTTGAACACTATTTATAAAATAAATATATAAATAAATAAGTGAGCTGGGGAGAAAAAGGTTCACATACTCGCCTTTCCCCCTCCTCCTCCCAAACACGTTCCAATTGTGCTATATATTTTTTCCAAAAAAATTGTTCTGATTAGAAGATAAAGACCAAAATGTGGTAGCTCCAAAAATTCTGTCTTCCCAGTTAATACTGCTTGGATTGAAAGGGATCCTAAAGGCATGCGTGAATTTTTATTCAGTAAATACATGGAAGAGAGGAATAAAAGGACATAAAAATAGAACTAGAGATGTGTGCTTGCTCATAGACTGCAGGCATATGGGTACTGATATAAGTAGGGCAACTAGTCACATCAATAGAAGCTGCTAGTGCTCAGTAAATCTCATCATCAGACATAGATGACCAGTAAGTAGGTCTGTAGCTATAGGCAGAATAAGACTACACTAAATAATATATATTAATAAAATATAACCTTTTAACACATGAGTGACTAAGCATCAGTGAAAAAGGGGGAATTTTAACTTAATTGCTGCTGTTGTCATTATTAATTATTTTATTACATAGTCTCTGGGGAGCCTGATCTGGATTGGGGCCCCTTTGGGCAGGGCATAGATAGGATGGGCCTGTGACCCAAAGTATCTACATTATAGATTCCCACCCATGCACACTGCATGCACAGAGTAGAAATGTCAAATGTCCTATTGTGTGAGAGGCAAAGATTTCTTAGGGTCATATCTTTTCTTGCACCAAACTGCATAATTGGGGTAGAGATAGACAAGCTTCTGAATGCAAAACTATTCCAGCTATGCAGCTGATCCAGTAAAAGTTATCACCTTAAGAAATCTTGCCTCTTGCATAATTATTGAACCATCACGGCCATGGGCGGATCTAGGATTTAGAAAAGCGGGGTGCAGATGGTGTGCAGATGGTGTGGTGCATCATCACATGTAACACAACAAATTTTTCTCCAGTTAAAAAGAAACTATAAGCTAATAAACAAGGGATCTAGAGCTACAGATTTTGCTATCAATTTAAGACCGAAGAGAAAAAAAACTTAGAATGTATATTAATTTGCTATATCATACATTATACATAAAACTACAACACACAAGGCAAAAATAATCAGAAGATGCTGGTTGATTCTGTAATAATGCTGTAGTCATTATAGTTAAATGGATGTCTCCTTCAGATTCATAAAACAAAATCAAGCCCTCTTGAGCATCTTGACAGTGCAGGTAATGCTTCATTGAAAGTTATTTCCACACCTGAGCTAATGTTCACCTGAGTTGATATTTCCACACCTGAGTTAATGTTTCTTGTTAGAGTTAAAATAAGCAGTCTACAGGGCTGTGAAATGGAAGCTATGTTACTAGGAGCAGCTAACAGACAGCAGAATTGCAGAAGTAAGAATAGCTTGAGTAGTGAAATCATTAAAGACCATTAAAAAGGAAGAAGGGTCATTAACACCTATGGAATGAGAAGTTTAGAGGGAATCAGGTAGATGATAATGAGCCATAACGTCAATTGACTCCCTCACTGCTGCCTGAATAGAAGTGCTGCTGCTGCTGCCAGGCAGTTGGCTTTAAACTTTGGGTGGACCAGGAATCCATGAATCAAAGGGACTGAAACTGCACCATCCCCAGATCTGTCCCTGATCATAGCTACAATAGTTCCGTTACGCTATCGAAATGTCCCATGGAAAGCCAAAGGCACTTAGGCTTGTAAGTCCCTACACAAAGGGCTGACCCAGTTTAACTAATATGCAAATTTAAACCCATTTGACTAAAGCAATGCAAAAGACTATGGCTCCCTCTTCATGTTACATGTATTACATAAGCAACTGATTAATTGCACGGTTCATTTAGACAAACTACATATGCAAAGTAACTATGACACAATAAAAAGTTCCATCCAGCTGTAAAGTTAGAGCTGAAAAATGTGTAAGAACATTATAGCTGGTTTCTATCCAGCTTTCTTTTGAACATGTAGCCCATGCTGACAGGGCTCCTAGCCATAGGGGGCCACCATACACTGCCATAGCTGAAAGTCCTGCAGTGCTGCCATGGCTGGGAGTCCCATCAGCTGACAGGACTTACATCCACAGCAATTCATGGAGCGCTGCCCCAGCTTCAAGTCTTATCAGCTGCGGCATTCACAGATCCAGGAGCTTGCTACTTGCCAGTGCAGGGGGAGCCTGGGATAAGATGCCCCTGCACCAGCAATAAGGTGTGATAATATCTGACATGTGGCATGGCAGGAGGCGTGATTGTGCGGATCGTGCATCAGATCCTATCATACTTTTACCTGAATAATTACTTTTATTTCAGTGCTGGATGGTTTATATCTGTTTAACATAAGTCATTTTGGAACTGGTGTATTATAAAACAAACTAAACAATGCATCCTGCCTTAAGAGTGTCTACCCAATTTCTTGCATTGCTTTCAGAAAAGGATAAAAAAATTATAGTTATGAAAATGGAATGTAGATTTCTTATTTGTCTAGGCACAGCTGAAAATTGTACCCATGTTGACAGCAGGTTTTGGTTTCTTCTCCTCCTCTGTAGTATCAAGGAATTGTGGCTGATGTTTGCTGAATACCAACTCGATGGACCAATAATTAGATCTAATTTGGCAGAGCTTATGCACAAATGTGATTCAACCCACACAATTTTTTCCCCTTTTTGACTTAAATTATCTGCAACTCTAGGTGCTTAACAGAATCTTAAAGAGCCAATGTAAAAAAGTCTGTGTAATAATACATTCTACAGTATTCACACTCAATAGTGCTCATTTTCTTTTGAAGAAACTGTAATTTTATCATAACTAAGCCATGACATTGACTGCAATATGATTTCTTAACACGTTGCTATAGACAAGTTGTCCTGCTCATGCAACAAACAAAAAAAAAAAAAGAAAAATCATGCCAAAATTTGGGAAACCCTCAGCAGCTATGTCAGCACTGTTAGAACTGTAGCAAAGCCTGGATCTGAGTGACTTATCCAGCACTGCATGTAGACAGAGCTGGTCACAGATGCTCTGCCTCCTTGTGCTGAACCCTCAGTCTTCTTTCCTCACAGCAAAAACAGAACATGCTCCAA